AATGTTAGTTTTCACAACAAAATGCAAGAACCGAGTGAAAACCTATACTAGGTGAAATAACTATTTTTGATTATTTTCATCAAAAATTTAAAAATTCATAACTCAGTCAAAACTCATCACACCTACTTCAGAATGTCAGGATGTACTCTATTTTATCAACTCATCCTGATTCTGTACTCAAAATCAATAGAAATTATCTCTTAGTTCCGAAGGTTTCTGCGAAATCTGTCTAGAAACCAAAGTATTTTCTGTTGGTTTTTTCAAAATTTGTTGAGCTTTACAATATGCTGCAGATAAAACAGAGTACACCCTGATATTCTGAAGTAGGTTTGACGGATTTTGACTGAGTTATGAATTTTTAAATTTTTGATGAAAATAATCAAAAATAGTTATTTCACCTAGTATAGGTTTTCACTCGGTTCTTGCATTTTGTTGTGAAAACTAACATTGCCACAAGATTCAGCATAGTCGATAACCTATGTCTTCATTGATTCCTGATAGTCCCAAACTTAACGGCAGAGGAGTGCTAAGGCTTCAGGGAAAACGCCCATAGCTCTCGAATCATGGATTTGTAAGGTATCCCTTGGATCCAGTTTTGTAGAGGACACTTTGGACTATATATCTATGAAAAACGTTTAAGTTTAACTACAATAGTTATTTTGACAGTCGCAAAGGCCTGAGAAGGTTTCTAGAAAACTCCCAGAAAACCTTTAGCTTGTTTTTCTCTTATTGGAAATCCTCTGATTGCCAGTAGCTTTAATACATAAATTTCCAAATCCATTAAAGTTTCTATCACTAAAAAAACGTTTTGACCATTCCGGTATAAAATTCAATGTTCAAATCATTAGTTTATAGACCCAATTTCGCGCTCTATTAGACTGTGTAACTTACAAATAAATCCGCTAGCTTTTGTTACCTGATAGACTAGGGAATACTGGTTGTCGCTAAGATGATCGAAAATTAGGAGAAAAAGACCTTTCTTAAAGACTCTTTTCGCTCTGATTTCATCCAAAAAAAATCATTATTTGTCATTAAAAAACAACATCTTATTCGAGAAAATTTACTAAATTTTTCGGTATACCTTGTTTTGTTGATTAAGTGATTTTAAGCGAGATTTTGCGCCAAAAATCCATTTTTTCAAAAGGAATGTAAAAAATTTGCAGCTTGTCTGTTAGACTTACTTTGTCAAATATCCATGATGAATCTTAAAACTGAATATACAATCTTGTAGAGAATTAAATTGTCTACCGTTTGGTATAGTAAGGAATTTTTTTTTCTGAAACGATTCTAAATTCATCGTTCTAGAAATCGTTTCAGAACTTGTAAGACACCCTTTATAAACCACAAAATCGGACTACTCCTAAATTTGGTATCATGTAGCACATCGCAATTACGGACAGATAGAGTCAACATATTACGCTAACGAGGGAACGTTCCGAGGTGATACTCTCCGTTTCTAATGAGTTATATCTCAATCGATAGAGTATATCGAGCTAGTAAAAATCCTAAAAGGATTCCTCCGCGTGACTCCTTGAAGCATAAGAAAATTTATTAGGAAGTGAGATTACTTAAAGAGTGTATAGATGTCGATATTTTAACGGTTTTATATTTCTTTGGCTTTTCTTTCTATATTTTATCGGCTCAAAGAGTCAATAGAGCAGATTGAAATAGTAGGCCTCTAGCATTTAGCTAAAGATATACACATATCTCAGATATATGTTTGCTTCATTTGTCGCATGTACCTTCGCAGAAAAGAGGAAAGAAGTTATATTTTCGCATTTTGTTCTTCTACTGACGAAATCGTGGAACAAAACGAATACGAAAAAACATATAGTCTGATATATTTAAAAATGAGTAGAAGAGTAGCCTGAAAGTGTAAACATACCCTGTACAAGGTATGTTTGCGCCGCTCCGTGAATATTCAAAGAATAAACTTCTTTTTTCTCTATATTTATCCTAGAATGAACCAACAGCAAAATTATTGTTTAGTCGCTTAATAGCTGAATTAAAACAAATTATTAATAACAATTATTTTATTGTTGCAAACAATAAATTTCAATTGAGATTTCAAGCACTGAAAGCTGATTTACCGTGCAGAGCGTTATGTTTATGTTTAAAGCAGCACAACGGATGTGAGTAACCAAATGTATTTTTCAAAGAAACCCTATTAATTTTTTTACGATAGATTATGCGTGCAGCAATTGTTTACAACGTGGACAAGTGTTAGGAGATCGAAATAATATTGTTTATTATCGATATGAACAAAATCAGCAACCCCGTACTCATCGTCAGTTCAAGGCTGCGTCTCATCAAGCTCAACTCAATAACGGTCAATTATCAATAGAAGGTATACATGGTAAAACACCACTTTTGGAATTATCGTTCAATGTATAATCTAATTTTCCATTCGATTACATGCATTTGTGTTGCAGGTGACACACATACGGTTGTTGTTTATTTAGTTAGAATAATATTTTTTGTTTAGTAGACACATGTCATTTTTGCTGAATCAGTGGGTTGATAAATTCAGTACTCGTCAAATGTCAACATTTATTGAAGAGGTTATAATACCGAACAATACTTCGTTAACAATTCACTCAAGTGGTGGAAATCAAAAGAATACCGTTTTTTGTTGTTATACGTTGCATTTCCGATGATTTTTCTTCATGGTTCAGACGAAATTGCTAGTCATTTTTTATTATATTTTACATCCATTCGTGTTATGCATTATTACGATCGAATTGAACATGTTGATCAGATTGAACCACTATTAGATCGTTATCGAGAAGAATGTTCGTCAATTTTTGGTCAAAAATCAGATTTATATACAATACATGCACACAAATATCTTCCTAATCAAGTTCGAGAAAACGGTTCTCTTTCTTCTACAAGTTGTTTTGGTGACGAATCTTTTCTCGGAGTGTTGAAAAAACTAAGGAAGGGCAACATTAGAATTGCACAACAATTATTCAAATCATACTTATTTTCAATACTTTGTGATTTCTCTTATAGTGAAGCAGAAGAACCATCACTAGATGGTCTGTTTTCCTCGCAAAAAGTTTTTGATATATCTTACATCAATATGACTATAAAGCATGCGTACATTAAGGATTTTCAAGAAACATTCAACTCATTTTTCGAAGTAATGAAAAAGAGCAATTGTATTAAGAGATTATAGACGACGCGATTAGAAACGAAAAAAAAAAGAATAGGAATTAAAAGATATAGTAGAGAGTATAGAACGAGAGTATAAATTTCATTTCCTAATAATTAACAAGTAATCATCAGCGTTATAATCAGTTTTGACTTCTAAATAGTTATCAATAATAAAGAGACAAACTGATTGGTATAAAATGGGAAGTGGCAGTGTAAGCCTTGTTTTCTTGTCCGTTGGTCAGTGAACAAATGTTATATTGTGATTTCTTCTGAATTCACCTTTTAATATCCAAAGATGCAAATAACTGATACACTCACACTTTATTATAAAAAATCA